CGCATCGTGGTCCCCTGATTCGCCCGGGCTGAAAGGATCCTCTCGGAGGCCCCTGGCCTTCCCTGGCGCAGCGTGGCGCAGGCCTGCCGCCGGCAAACCTGGAGGCACCGGGAAGCCAGTGGCCGAGCGCTCGCCAGCCACCTCCGTGGCGAAACCAAGGCGCAAACTAGCAGGCACGACTACTTGCAGACTTGCGAGTCTTGCCATATAAATACATAAAAGGTGTATTGAACAATCGATCGTTGCAACTAGGGGGCAGAGGGGCAAGCTTCACGCGTCAGGCCTACGGGAGGGAGGCACACCGTTGCTCTTCTCTTGCTTTTGAAGCTGCTTGGCTGGTTTCCTGGGGTCACTTGAGCCTGTCTTTTGCAGTTAGCTTCCTTGGTTTCTGCTTCTCTTGAGGTCAGCCAGCCAGTCCACGATTTCTGCAAAACACAAGGACCGTCTGAATGGAAACAGAGTATCCGCTGTCAGCAGGGGGGGTTTCTCTCATGAGATAGATAGTTCTTCCTGGCTGACAAAAACTAGCAGGTGAAATCGCTCTGTGCGCCAGCCTAACAGCCGCCTTGCGCCAGCGCGCCTGTGCTGTTCCTTGCAGGTGTGACTTCCCTGAACGGAGAGGCACGCGTGAGCACAGTTCAGAGAGAAGCAGGCGTAGACACAGACAGATGCCTGGAAAGAGCTGTGAGAAGACTTCCTTCAGCTCAGCACCATGCAGGCACAGCTGAGCAACGGGCTGGGGGCATGGGGTAGGACTAGAGTATTGAAGACACAGTGTGTCTTCGGTTTAACTTTGCTGGAGCCAATAAACCTGAGGATTTTCAGCATTTCCTAGCAGCAGCTCTCAGAGCGGGCCATTCCCTGAGGCAGGGTTTCCTAAGAAAACCACTCTTCAGAGGCTGAGATGCAGAGAGCACAGCAAGAGCTGGGGGGGGTTTCTTACCCAAACTCTCCAAATCTCTTGTGTAGATATCGAGCTGGTAGTGGTGGGAGTGATTAAAGGACGCTTTCTCCCCCTGGAAAGATGATGGACTGAGGAAAAGGTACTATCATCTCAGTCACTTGTGCCTTCAAGCACAGCAGAAAGGTTTCTTTATCTTTTTCTGCTGCATCTGTTAAGTCTTATGATTGAGATCAATTATTTATCTGATGCAAACATAGACCAGCTTCAGAGGCAGTGAAATCATCCCCAGAGCAGAACAATTCCTGAAATTGCAATTTATTGCTAAAAGCCCAAGGCAGGAAATGTTCCTGTCTTGTGTTGTGACTGCTCCTCCAGCTTACAGGAGCTGCAGGATTTGAGCGAGGATCAACCCATGGCTCCTGTTCCTAGCCCAGTGCTTGTCTGACAGACTGCTTACTCTTTCATGATGCCTAATGAATAGCCTAGTGATTATTTTCATGGCATGGACAAATGTTAACTGGGTGAACCATCATGCTATCTACAGGAGAAAGAGACTTTTATTGCTAGGGGACTCCTTAGCATAACAAGGTAGGACAAGGAGTGATGGCTGAAAGAGAAACCCAGTCCAATTCAAATAGAAAGCAGAAAGGGACAAATTAAGAGTCTCCTTCTCTGGAGATATTCAAAACCTGCCTGGACGTGATCCTGGGCAATGTGCTCTAGATGACCCTGCTTGAGCAGGGGGGTTGGACAAGATGCTCTCCAGAGGTCTCTTCCAACCGTGGCCATTCTGTGATTCTGTGAACCACTGAGCGACAGAATGGATTTGCCATCCTTTGAAAGCTCTCGGACATGACAGGACAACCCCTTTAAAAGGATCCTGTCAAGGGAATTCTTGGATCTGACCCTCTGTGTTATTGAGAGCACAGGATCAGGGATCACAGCGTTTTTTTCCTGGGTTTAAAATCTAGACTATGCTTAGTAAGAATTCTTCCTTTGGCCCAAGTTGGAAACTTCTGATGGCCAGGCCTCACTTGACAAATGTTCTGCCCCGGGAGATCAAGGACTGAGTTTATCACTAAATACCACTGCTAGTGTGAACAGCAAAAAAAAAAAATCTTTCAGCCTCAGGCACCTGCCTGCAATTGCTCTGCTATGCTGCAGGGCTGCCGTCGGCTTGGGAAATCTGTTGGACAGGGAGGAGTTGGAGTGCTTTTTTTTTTTGAACAAGCACGGAAGGGGCACCTTTGGAGACCCCACCACGACACGTCTGCATGCAAACAGAGGCTGGAAAGCGCAGGATTTAGGCTAGCCCTAAAACTGTATGTGCTTTCACTCAACCGGTCAATGAAGGCTGCAGCACCCTGGGTAACAGGACAACTTGAAAAAAACCCTTTCACATTGGGTGCCCTGGTGCTCTCAGGGGCCACAGCACTGAGTTAGCTGCTGCCACTGATCCTCCATTCCTTCCCAACCGGGTCCTGTCCAGGAAACAGGCTATGGATGGGGTTGCGAAGAGAAGCGTGCTCTTTGAGAAGACAGAGAGTCAGGCAAGCAGCATGGCCAGGCAGGAGGGTTATCTGCATAGGACCATCAGCCCTGTGTCACACACCAGTGGGACAGGAGAGCAGGACAGCCCTTTTAAATGCATTGCTGACCTTGGCAGCCTGAGGCCCTGAGAAAGCTGGGCTCAGCTATTTGCTGAAAAGAAGACAAATCTGGGCATTTGTCTTCGCCCCCTCCCCCCCCCCACACCCATCAAGGGGGCAAAGCTCACGTTACTGCTGCTCTTGAGCAGACATCCATCATCTGCTGCAGCAGCAGAAGACATGGGTCCCTTCGGCTTGGGTAGCGGAAGTGCAGGACAGCCCAGCAATGTGGAAATGTGGTAGCATGGGACTGGAAGAAGGAGCAGACAGCTAGGGAGATGAGCCCGCGCAGAAACACTTACGCTCAGCAGAAGGGCGCTGGGAAGGGTCAAAGGCCCGGCACTGGTCAATGATTTTCTCCAGGTCTTTGGGACAGTCTTCCCCAACAGGCTCCCGATAATGGTGTTCACAGATTTTCTCCCTGATCTCTTGGGGAGTGCAGCCTAAACCAACACACACACACCAACCACGTCAGGCCGGCATGGCAGAGCTCTGCTGCCACAGGAGGCTGCTGGGCAGGGAAGCCAGTGCAAGGCCACTTTGAGAGCCTTCCTGCAGCCTACAGCGCAGAGGAGCCAGCACAGAAACCGCCCGAACTGTGTCTGCAGTGAACCCCTCTTCTCTGCCATAACGCCACTGGGCTCCAGTGAAGCAAGGCGATGTGTTTATGCTTCAGCGCATAGGAGCATCAAACAGAGACAGAATCATTTGCACGCTTGTGGTTTAAGCATGTGCTGAAAAGCTTTACTGTGCTGGAGTTGGAGTCCTGGGAAAAGCCACGTTTAGAGGCTGTTGTGCTGCAGGTTGGGCAGACCCAGGCATCCTGGGCACTGCCATGGGGACCCACATGCCTCTGGGTGCTCTGCAATGGAGCACAAGTATCTGACCCTGGCCAGCGATCTAGCTGGGCCCCGCTGCTTTCACACAGGGGGACCAGATGCTTTTATCTCACCTTCAAATGGGATTTTGGAGGTGGCGATCTCCCACAGCACGATCCCAAAGCTGAAACGAGACAAGCAAGAGTTCGTCAGCAATGACCCCCACTACCTTGTCCTGCCTCCTCCCTTCTCACGGAGGGGACTGCCGGGCCTTGCCAACCTCAGATGGCTGCATGACAGGTACATGTCTGATTATGGCCTCCTTCCACAGCTTGCTAGCTGCTCTGCCAGACACCTAGCTGCTTACGGCCACCTCTCCTGGGAGAGGCCTGGCTGCGATAGACCCACCTGTATATTTCACAGGGCCTCTTATAGGGGTAGTAGACGTCCTTCAGGTTCTCAGGGGCAACGTAAGCCAACATAGAGACTTGTTTCCAGTTCTTCTTGGCTTTCCTCTTGATGGACGACTCTGTTTCACACAGCTCAAATCCTGACAGCTGATTGAGAGGATGAGAAAGGGAAAAGAGGGATAAACTCTAGGCTGGACACCGGTTCTTAGCTTGAGCTTTCTGGCCTGACTTCCTTTGGGTTATGTTACGTGGTGGGTCTTCCCTTTCCCCTTGTCAAGTAGAGCAGGCTTCCCCTGAGGGACACACTGCAGAGCAGGCGGGTCTCCGCAGCTACCAGTGGCAGGCTGCAGGGATGGTTTCCTGGAGCGTGGCTCCGGGACCTGCACTGCTTTTGCAGCACCCAGCCATGGCCAGAGAGCCCTATGTGGTTTTGGCGTCTCTGTGCAGCTGCACCCCGTGAGCCTGGATACACACCTGATCGCCAGGGACACAACCCTCTTGCAGTTTTGCAATGACAGCTGACATGGAGACGTCTGCACTCAGGCCAGCCCTTGAGGCACATATGTTCATGGTCAGCAGCTAAATGTAACCTCCCCATCTTTCTACTCTGCACCTAGAGCCAGTGTCCTGAGCCAGGCCCCTGGTAAAAATACAAATTAATTTTAATCGTTGTTAGCTGGCCTGATTTTCAGAAGAGGTGCAGGACCCCTGGCAGCGTCTATAATACAGCACCCAGTGCAGAAACCTCTGGCGTGGCTGGGGACTGACCTGAGTTGGAGAAAACGGAGCGAGGTTCCTTGGGCAGCCGTGCATGCTGCTGGGTACGCAGCTCTTTCTGTCAGCTAAACCTGAGCTGGAGGTAGGGGATTCACCTCCCCTAGCGCCATCTCACCCCAAGGGGGATGGTTCAGAAACACTCCCTGTTCTCTACTGGTGGTAAGATAGAGCCAAAGGATGAACTGAGACCTAAGTGTCTAAGGTGACAGGGGAGATGAATCTCCTCCAGTTGTTATTCTGGACTATGATAATTCTCTTCTGTGTTAGTGGGAGGAAACATCCATAAAAACATACAAAACTACCCGAAGCTTCTCAGAGCGTGGTCCTTACCTTCACACAGTAATCTCCAGCCACCAAGAACTTGCTACTGTTAATGCATCCGTGCAGTCTGGACTTCTTTTCTGTTTGGTGCAACCTGCGGCCAGCCAGAGCCAAGGGCAATAAGTACTGGTAATGGACCTGTCTCTGTCTCCAGGCTCCCTCCTCCCGCGCAGGAGAGCCTTGGAGACGGACCAACATGCGCCCCGGGAAGCTAGCAGCAGTGTCTGCTTCAGTGCAATGGCCCTGCCAAGCTGACCTTTCCAGCAACCCCTGCAAGAGCTGCCACATGCAAGATAACAAGCCACAGAGGTTTTGTGCAGAATAAGCAGGGCACCACGGGGCTCTGAGGAGCAGCCTGCTGTCAGAGGGCAACAGCTGAGCAGGTTTAGTGCCCGTTTGGGGAACTGCCACTGCTATTTTGCAGGGACTCCTGAAAGCTGCCTGGCGGTACTGAGCAGGAGAGAGGAGAGGAGGTTTCTTCCTTCCAGGGCTTTTCAGGCTTCAAGGCATACATATGGGCCAACAACCCTGGGGAGATGGGCACTGCCATATCCCATCCCACCTCCTACGCCTCCAGCAGCCACCTTTCCAAATGTCATAGGCCTAGCAAGTGGGAGAAATGGGGTCTAACTGCCCACTTTGCTGGCTTACAGGTGTCAGAGATCCAAGCAAGGCTTGCAGACTGAAGCAGACTTACTCGCCCGCAGACAGGAACTCACCGGTAAAGCCCTCTTGCGGCTCCCAGGGCCATCCGAAGGCGCCTCTCCCAGGAGAGCTGCTGTTGCTTGCTGAGCACCTCGCGTAGTGTGCCATGCTCGCAGTACTCCATAACAATGGAGAAACAAGGGCTCCGATCTGTCCCAAAGAGACGTCCATTGGTGGTGGTGTCTGAGGAGGAGCTGGCCCAGGACTAGCCAGTGAGGTGGTGGCTTTGGCAGCCGTCCACGTCTCCTGGGGTCTGCGCCACCCGGGGCAAGCCAGTGCTTCCTGGGCTCCACTTGGCACAGCAGAACTGGCCACGTGCATTTGATTTTTTTTTTTGGCCCAGGATGTATTTTCAGGTTATGTATGAAATAACCAGCAACATCCCAGACACTTAATGCAGAAGAGTGAGTGTTGCTCTTAGTGAAAGGCATGGTGGAAATTATTGGTGGAGTGGGTATGAAACCATCAGTCCACTGGGGATCTGGTTCTGCTGCTGTCGTGCTCTGCCCCCACAGGCTAAGTTAGGCCCATATGGTTTTTTAATATTTTTTGCACTTTATAGCAATGTTGGGTGATGGCAAGGACCTGCCCTGTCTCTGTCAGGGTGCGGGAGGCACTGCGTTCCCAGGGGGAGAAGCTGAGGCAAGTCACCGAGCACCCCTGTGCCCACTGTGCCACTTCTCGGGCGGGACCATGCCGCCACAAGCCGTCTGCTGCCAGCCAGCGTCAGGGACAGACAGGGCAGAGAAAGGGCAAAATTAAGGCTACATCCTTACCTTGCTCCTCGATGCAGATGCCATACATGCGCAGGATGTTTGGAGACTCAAACTTCTTCAGGGTTTGAATTTCCTTCTCAAAAATGTCCCTCACCTTCCTGCAGAAAGTTGCAGCACAGTGAGTGTCCCGGAGCAAGATGCAACATTGCTCCTGCCTGGCACCCTGGCTGATACCCCAACGCTTGCAGGAAACCACGTCCTGCCCGAACATCCCCGTCCCAGTGAGCCGAGGCATCCCTGCAAGGAGGTACCTCCTCTGCAGCACGTGCACCTCTCTCCCCTCTGGACCACAGCTCTGCCCTGGGAAAAGCATCACCACCTTCCCGCTGACCTCTGCCAGTGGCACCCAAAGTGGTGTGGGCAGCAGCAGGGCAGCTGCCCCCTAGACCCCCTGCCCTGCCTGGCTCCGCTCCCATGCGACAGGGCAGCCTGCCTCGGCCAACTCACGCAGGGTCGGTGGTCAGTGGCCTCTTGAACGTTTTGATGGCGACGGGGTACTTGAGATACTCTCCCTCATAGAGGTCGTAGCTGTTGGTGTCCTGCAGGTGCCGGCGGAAGGTGAGGTGCTCCCGCTGAATCTCAGTGATGTCCTCTCTTTTACCTACATCGACTTTCTTCAAACCTGCTCCCCACGAGGGAACAAGGGCCAGGTTAGGCAGTGCTCAGCAGGACGGACAGGCCACAGCTCAGGCCGGCCAGAGAGTATGTTTTCTTACACAGACATTTAATCTTTTTGATGGGGAAAGTGTTCGGTGGTGCTGATGTGGTCAACCCAGACCTCTTCCCCAAGAAGAAAGGCCTGGGACACTGCACAGGGACAGATCTCTTCCTAGTTTATGGCCCCAGCACCTTCTTTTCTGATGCACTTAAGGACAGAGAAACCAGTTGCACTTCTCCCCTCTCTGCACATCCACTGGGCAGATGAAATCACCTGCTGGCTCATCGTTTGCTAGCTGGGAGGAAGCATTTTGCTCTAAGAAGGCTTTTTCTGCTCCCTTTTTGCAATGTTAGCCAAATGATTGAGCAAGCCAGGAGCCCGGCTGCACCATGGTACCCAGCGCGGTGGGAATGGCCGAGCCGCCGGCCGGCTCTGAGCATGGCAGCAACGCAGGAGGGAGGAGAACACGAGAGGCACGCCGCCAACTTACACTCCATCATGTGCACGACTTTATTCAGCTCGCTTTGCATCCAGTCTACCTTACTCTCCACACATTGCCTATCGAGATGGATGTCCACATCCGTGGGGTTTTCGGTACCTGTGGAGAGAAAGGCAGAGAAACAGATGTCAGATGAAGGCGCAGGATGGGCGCTGTTAATCTTTCTGGCAGTTTGAAGTGCAGCTCTGCTCAGACAACCAGCCCTTCGGCTCTCCCTGGCCATCACCAGGAGGCCAAGGCTGAGCAGTGGCTGGGGAGGGATGCCAATCTCCAGCTGGCCTCTCTTCTCTCGGGAAAAAAAAAAACACTTGTTGAATGCACACTTACTTGCAATCACCTCGTCCAAGAAATCCCTGTCATTTCTCAGGTCCTCGGCGTCCTGCCAGCGGCAGGTCTTTGCCTGGAAGGCCTCCAGGAAAGCCTGTTTCTGCTCTGCCTGCAGCAGGAGCGAGAGCCCTTGGGCGATATCCTCCAGGCTCTCGTTCACCCAGACAAACTCTTCGCCGCTGCTGCGGGCTCGCAGGAACTTCTGGATCCAGCTCGCCTGGCTGTACTTCATCACCAGCTTCTGGGCCTCCCCCAGCACCCGCAGCAGCCTCTTCAGCAGTTCCTTTTCGTGGTGGGAGATGTGTGTTGCTGGCTGAGCCCTGAGGACCCTGACAGGCTCCAGCAAGATGTGGATGCGCTCCACCAGGCGCTGGCACTGGTGCTTGCAGCACTTCACTTGTTCGAACTGGGTGTAGATGCCCTGGGCTACGACGAAGACCCTCTCCACGATGTCCATGTCCATATGCGAAGTGGGTGCCCAGCGGGGCTGCCGGCCAGCAGTGTCTCGTGGGGGGTGAGCCTCAGCACCGCGCGGTGATAAGCGGGACGCCAAGCCGCAGGCTTTTCGTGGGCCCTAAGGAACAGCCTTAACGTGGCATGCAACCCTCCCAGTCTCCTATCGCCCCTTGAATCTCCTACGGCTGCTTCGCTACCTTCGTAAAGCCTCAGCACGGCACCCTGTCCCCCAGAGCACGTGCTCGTTTTATGTGACTTAATTTAGTATTAACAACACCCAGGTAGCTCACCTACAGACAAGCAAGGGCAGCGATAGCGTGAGGAGCGTCATCCCAAGGCAGCGCTCCCCGGCTCTGCCTGCAGCACATATATCTTACATATAAAGATCTGCTTTCCTTCCTAATTGACGTTTCTCTCTTTCGGTGCCCACCTTATTAGAGCGGTCATACATTCGCAGCCCCAGCGCACCTAATTCTTCGTGTTTTCTCCCTGCAGCCTTGCGCTGGATTCACACGCAGCATCGCCCGCTTTGGATTTTAAAACAAATTCTCTCTGCGTGCTCCCGTGGCTGCGACTGCTTTGCCTTCCCCTCCGGCTCCCTCCAACACTTCCCCCAAGGTAAAAGGCTCGCTCCCTGCCGAGATAAAGCACCCGAGTTTACCTGGCCCCGCTTCGCTCGCCTCCGTCTCAGCTGCTGCCGACGCCTGCGGAGGAAA